CCCGCACACACTGCTGCTCCTGCCAGCCCTCCTGAGCTCAGGTACACCCCTCTGCGGGCACTTCCGGCCGCGCCTCCTCTTCCCTCCTTGCCTGCACCTCGGTTTGGGGCCGCCTTCAGGCCCTCGGCTCCAGCGCTGGGTTTCCCGACCCACTTGCCCACGGTGCAGCCACTCCCTGTGGGAGACCTCCCCGCCGGCTGCCCCTCGGTAACTGGGCCTCCTCGTGGTCACAGAGCAGTGCCAGCCCGACCCAGAACGTTCTGTCGTGTTCCAGGTTGGGGGGAGTTGGAGCCACAAATCGATGGCCAGGCCTGGGCTGAGCGGGCACTTCGGGAGAATGAACGCCACCCCTTCACCTGCCGAGTGGCGGGGGTGTCCGGCACCCCCCGACTGGCCTGGTACCTGGATGGACAGCTGCAGGAGGCCAGCACCTCACGGCTGCTGCGTGTGGGCGGGGAGGCCTTCTCGGGGGGCACCAGCACCCTCACTGTCACTGCGCAGCGGTCCCAGCATGAGCTCAACTGCTCCCTGCAGGACCCGGGCCGTGGCCCGGCCGCCAACGCCTCGGTCATCCTCAATGTGCAATGTGAGTCCCCGAGGCGGGCAGGGGCAAGGTCCTCTGCCCGGGGACCCCGGCACCCACATAGCAGATGGTCTGACAGGACATTGAACACACATTTGAGTGCTTTGCAAATATTAACTAACTTCAGTCCTCACAGTAATCCCATGAGCGAATCCCTGTTATCCCCACTTTACAAATTAGAACACAGCACAGAGAAGTTAAGCAATCTGGCCGAGATCACACCGCTAGCTGGTAAGAAGCACAGCCAGTATTCAGATCCATACATTTTGGCTCTAGCGTTTATACTCCTTTTTTTAAATATGTTTTTATTGACTTTTTCGAGAGAGAGGAAGAAAGAGGGAGAGATGGAAACAGTGATGAGACTCAGTGATCAGCTGCCTCCCACTGGGGAAATCGAGCCCTCCAAACCGGCTTGTGCCTTGACCTGGAATCGAACCTGTGACCTCCTGGTTCATAGGTTGATGCTCAACCACTGAGCCACACTGACCGGCCTTGTGTTTATACTCTTGATCACTACAAAATGCTGCCTCTGAGGTGGACATAGCCATCCTAGGTCCTAGTGTCCCCTTAGAAGTCCCTCTGGGTTTGGGAGGAAAGGGCAGGAGTATGAGGAGCTGTGGTGAGAGCACGTTGGCCTCTGCTTTGCTCCAGTTAAACCGGAGATTGCCCAGGTCGGGGCCAAGTACCAGGAAGCTCAGGGCCAGGGCCTCCTGGTTGTTCTTTTTGCCCTGGTCCGTGCCAACCCGCCTGCCAATGTGACCTGGATCGACCAGGATGGGCCAGTGACTGTCAACACCTCAGACTTCCTGGTGCTGGATGCCCAGAATTACCCCTGGCTCACCAACCACACAGTGCAGCTGCAGCTTCGCAACCTGGCACACAACCTCTCTGTGGTCGCTGCCAACAATGTGGGGGTCACCAGTGCCTCGCTCCCAGCCCAAGGTGAGCGATGAGCGTCAGTACAGAAATGGGAGGACTTGCTGCCCTTGGGATGAGGCTTGTGAGTGAGTGTCCCCAGCCACCTTGGCAAGGAGGACAGAGTCGGACCTGTGGCATCTCAGTTGGGGGCCCTACCTTCCTGGAACCTAACCAAAAGACCACCTGCAGGACTCCTGGCCACGCGGGTGGAAGTGCCACTGCTGGGCATCATTGTAGCCGGAGGGCTATCGCTGGGCACCCTGGTGGCATTCAGCACCTCAGTGGCCTGCCTGGTCTGCAGGAGAGAGAAGACCAAAGGTAAGGCCAAGGTGATGGGTGGCTGGGAGAGTGGAGGGGAGGGCAGCGTGAGCAGCAGGGCAGAAAGTAGGGGCAGACAAGTCGTCTAACAAGTGGCAGGACAGGTGTCTCCGGGGTGTGGCCTCGGGTAATCCAGGAGGCATTTCTGGTCCCAGAGCCAGGGCTGGTGTTTGAGAGACTCCTTGCCTGAGAGTCCTGGGTCTGGAAGGGCAGGGGGCAAAGGCCGGTGTGGGAGGGCACACTGAAGTGGTGGTATGGTTTCTCTCCTCAGGCCCCTCCCGGCGCCCATCTCTGCTCTCTAGGTAACTGCCCCTGGTCTGGGGAGCTGGGCTGAATGGAGGTGAAGCTATTGCTAGTCCTGGCACTGGCTCCAAAGCAGGACTCATCCTGCTGGAGCCAGGGCACATCCCAGGCTTTGTCCACCCTGCAGTGACTCCAACAACCTGAAGCTCAACAACGTGCGCCTGCCCCGGGAGAACATGTCCCTCCCGTCCAACCTTCAGCTCAACGACCTCACTCCAGACTCCAGAGGTACATCCGGGACCCTCTGTGGCCCCTGTTTTATCTTCAGAGGTGCTGCCTTTTTTTTTTTAATGATTTGAGAGAGGAAGGGGAAGGGGGGGCAGGAGCGAGAGAGAGAAACATCGATTTGTTGCTTATTTATGCATTCATTGGATGATCCTTGTATGTGCCCTGACCGGGGATGGAACCAGCAACCTTGGTGTATTGGGACGATGCTCTAATCAATTGAGCTTCAGAGATGCTTCTAAGAGAAAAAGAGACCTTGGTACTTCGGAGGGGCACACTCCTTGTGCTGGCACCACCCCCTTTGTCACCCAACAGGGAAACAAGCAGACAGACAGACGGCTTGGAATAACAGCCGGCCAGAGCCAGAGCTCCTGGATTCAGAGCCCGGCGGCCTCCTCACCAGCCGAGGTACCCTCCTCCCCTGCTCCTCATCCCTTTACTTATGCCTCTGAGTCCCTAGGGGCAGGGAGGAGCTTCCTGACTTCCAAGGATGAGGGTCACTGAGACTCCTGGGCATCTCTGACCCGGCAGGCTTCATCCGTCTCCCAATGCTGGGCTACATCTACCGAGTGTCCAGTGTGAGCAGTGAGGAGATCTGGCTCTGAGCTGAGGGTGAGACGGAGGGTGCCATGCCCCTGGGCACCCTCCCCTCCAAGGCATCCTCTGCCTGGCCATGTTGCCAGTGAGGTGCCACTTCCACTTGTGCTTGCATCTCTGGCTGGGGTGCTTCTGTCATCCACAGGAGGGTTCCACTGGATCTGACCCTGAGGGCACAGGTATCCTTGGCAAGGCTGCTGACTGGACCCTAGCCCTTGTTCTTATTCAGGTTGGGGGCCTGCATGACATGCCTGTGCCAAGTGGATAGAGCTTTTTGCCTGTGTGTTCTGATGTCATCTGGCATCTACGTGTGGCATGGCCCTGGTGACTTGGGCCTGCTCTGTGCCTCCCACCAGTATTCCTCAGCACCTCACACAGCAGGCACAGGGATATGCCTGGTGTGGGACTAGAAAGGCCTGCATGTCTTGGATTTCCTTCCCATGCTGTGTAGCTTTGCTCACTCTGAACATTTAGAACTCTGCTCATTGCATAGAAATAAAATACCCTGTGCACAGGGAGCAGCCCAGGCCAGGGCGTTGGCCGAGCACAGACCCGTCCCTTCTGCTGGTACCTCAGTCCCCACTGTCCCCCCTTCTCTTGAGCATCATAGGTTATATGTTGGACCTTTACCACTTCTTCACTGGGCACTAGACTTCCCCACTGGCCTCTGGTGGTGCTAGTGCCTGGTGTTAGCACAATCAGGAGGAAAGGAGAAGGTGAGGAGCCTGGCGGCACCCAGTACAGCATGTAGCTATGCATCTTTTTCTTACAGTGAGCACTTCAAGCACATCTAGGAGGGGGAGTGCGGGTCCCAGGGCCTCTCTGTGGCTTCCCCACGTTGGCCTTCCTGTGATTCACTGAGGGCCCTGAGCCCTCAGGGTTGGTGGTTTCCCTCAACATGTCTCCCCTTTAGGAGACCTCAGTTCTGACCCATCAGCAGGCCACCCTTCCTGTCCCACCCCGTTCTTCAGGGAATGTCCATTGTGGCACATACTTCAACAGTGCCGGAAGCTTTCGGGGGACATGGAGGAGGAGACCACATACCCCAAAACAACCTAGGAACACTTTCCAAAGCGACATGGAAATGCCTGCAAATCAATATAGTGCGGAGTATATTTTTCCCTTGTTATCTTTTGTAATTTTTCTCATGTTACAGCCTAGAACAGTGCTGAGCACACAATAAATTCAATAAGCTTGACTGAGTGAATGTTACATGTGTTTCATTCTTTCAAGTAGATTTGTTAATGAGATCTTTAAATCACACAGTTGAGAAAACATGTACGTACCATACTGTTGAATCTTAACATTCCACTTTATTTGCTTCCAATCTTTTATTTTTATTTTTTATTTATTTTAAATGTATTTTTTCTTGACTTCAGAGAGGAAGGGAGAGAGATAGAGAGCCAGAAACATCGATGCGAGAGAAACATCGATCAAGCGTCTCCTGCACATCTCCCACCAGGGATGTGCCCGCAACCCAGGTACATGCCCTTGACCGGAATCGAACCTGGGACCCTTCAGTCCGCAGGCCGACGCTCCATCCACTGAGCCAAACCGGTTTCGGCCAACCTTTTATTTTTTAAATAAATAATATTGCCCTGGTTGGGTAGCTCAGTTGGTTAGAGTGTCATCCCGATACGCCAAGATTGTGGGTTCAATCTCCAGTCTGGTCACATACAAGAATCAACAGATGAATGAATAGATAAGTGGAATAGCAAATTGATGTTTCTGTCTCTCTCTCCCCCCAGCCCCCTTCCTCTCTAAGATCAAATAAAAATCAATATTTCTCTAATTGCACTGTTTCCAGTGGCAATGATGGCACGTTCTGTTTCAAGAGTGGCAGGTTGAATCAGAGCTCCACCCACTGACCAAGTCTCTGGGTCACTATCACTTGGCAGACTCTCCCCACTTTTAATTCCTGATCTTTTCGAGGGTTCTGTAGTGTCAGATGGCTTACTTCTTAGTTTCTCTGTCCCTCTCCTTCACAGGCAGTCATGTTGCAGGCTTTACCCCCTCCTGCTACACAATCAGCTATCACTTGTCCATCTTCCAAAATTGTGTTGCTACAGCTTCTGAAGGTCAAGATGGCAGCATAGGTAAATGTGTTGCCTCCTCCCACAACCATGTCAAAATTACAACCATGATTCAGAACCCCTGAAGTCTAGCCAAATGGAAGTCCTACAACTAGGAAATTAAAGGTGAAGAGGCCACATTGAGACTGGTAGGAGGGATGGAGACAAGGAACAGGCTGCTCCCACAGCCTTGTGTGGCAGATAAAAGTTGGAATGGATATCTCGGCTGGGGAGTTCCCCCTAAGGAGAAAGGGATACCAGCCCCACACCAGGCTCCCTATAACTTCTGGCTGTAAAAAACAGAGGGGACTGACTCTGAAGGAGATGGAGGCTGCTAAAGTCCCAGGCATTTCTCTTAAAGGGACACACATGATCTTTACTCAGACTCACTCCCTCTAGCTACAGCACAGGGGCAGCAGCTTGAAAGGCACCAGAGCCATACAAGGAGGAACTGAATTGTCCTGTATCAGGGTGCGAGCTGGGGGGCCAGGTTTCTCCCAGACACAAGTGCTGGCAGAGGTCATTGTTCCTCTCCCAAAGAGCTGGAGGTGGGTGTCATATCTGAGACTCCATCAACCTGGCTCACACTGTTAGCCCTGTCCTGGTGATTTCCTGAGACCCCACCACACCCAGCTTTCGGGCCCATCCAAGCTGTTTCCAATGGCTTTTCCATACAAATGGCCTGTCTTGGCTCATGCTTTAGATTTTCCTAAAATCTCTCAAACAAGCAGCATTTGGCCTGGCCATGTCCCATCCCTCTCACTAAGTGGCCCAGGCTCGACACTAGCAGCATCTGGCCTTGGTTCACAGCTTGGCCTCTTCTGGGCACCTCCAAGCCAAGCACAAGTAGCAGCCATCTGCATATTGTTTGTAGCTCATGCTAGGTGAGTCACAAGCAGTGACTGAATTTGGCCTGCACCTCCAGGGAGGCCCCAGAGACAATGCACCCAGTAGACAGCTTCAGTCCATGTCAAGCACCACCATCCAACCACCTCCATAAACAATACACTCAAATGGCAGACTAAGTAGGCACCAGAGCCCCATTTAATTAAGTCCTGTTCTGTGGGGTGGACCCTTGCACAGCTGATCCAATCCAATGGTTGTAAGTTGATGGTAAGTGGTTGTAGCCAGTCCTTGCAGCTGATGAGCCTCATGGTAAATTCCTCCCACTGACATGCCAACAACAACCAAGGCTCAACTGTAAGAGAAGGGGTACACAGCCACACGGGGGGCACACTCAAGTGCCCAGCTGGGGTGATAAGGGAGGCTATGCCACTGGACCCTATAGAACACCTACTACTATAGGCCACTCTACCAAGCCCAGGAGACATAGCAGCTCTACCTAATCCATAGAAACAAACACAGGATGGATGCCAAAATGAGAAGACAAAGAAATATGTCCCAAATGAAAGAACAGAACTCCAGAAAAACAAAATGGGGACAGGTAATCTACCAGTTGCAGAGTTCATAACATCCTATATAATAAAGAGCTAATATACTAACAGACCGGGCAGCAGAACGACCTTCCAGAATGACCTCCCAGAATGACCTTCTGGAATGACTAGTGGGCAGGGGGCGTGGCCACGGGGTTGCCACCACCCTTTGCAGGGCTATCGATGGGGGTGGGGGGCTCCATGATCAATCACCCTGCAGAGGGTGGCAGCATCCAGGCCTGCAAGGGCCGAGGCAGCTGGGGCAAGCAGTTAGGGCCTATGCTTGCATGAATTTCATGCATCAGGCCTCCAGTGGGTTATAAAGATGTCCAATGAATGTAGTGAGAACCTCAATGGTGTGAAAAGGACCAGTCATAAATGAAGAGTACATGAACTTAAATAAAGAACAATTTACAGGGTATCAACAGAAGAGTAGATGAAGCTGAGAATCAAATCAGCAATCCTATATAATAAAGAGGTAATATGCAAGTTGACTATCACTCCAACACACAAGATGGCCGCCCCTATGCAGACACAAGATGGCCACCACAAGATGACCAGCAGGGGAGGGCAGTTGGGGGCAACCAGGCCTGAAGGGAGGGCAGTTGGGGATGATCAGGCCTGCAGGGGAAGGAAGTTGGGGGGGACCAGGTCTGCTTGGGAGGGACAAGGTCTGCAGGGGAGAGCAGTTGGGGGGGACTAGGTCTGCAGGGGAAGGAAGTTGGGAGGGACAAGGCCTGCAGGGGAGGGCAGTTGGAGGGGGACCAGGCCTGCAGGGGAGGGCAGTTGGAGGGGACCAGGTCTGCAGGGGAGGGCAATTGGGGGTGACCAGGCTGACATGGGAGTGTAGTTAGGGGCAATTGGGGCAGAAGGGGAGCAGTTAGGCGTTGATCAGGCTGGCAGAGGAGTGGTTAGGGGGTGATCAGGATGGCAGTCAGACGCAGTTAGGGGCAATCAGGAAGGCAGGCAAGCAAGCAGTTGGGAGCCAGCAGTCCTGGATTGTGAGAGGGATATCTGACTGCTCGTTTAGGCCCGATGCTGGTGGGGGGTCCCAGATTGGAGAGGGTGTAGGCTTGGCTGAGGAAAACCCTTCCCCCACGCACAAATTTCATGCACCGGGCCTCTAGTTTGGATTATAAGGAAGCAAAAATCAATCAGTACAGCAAAAAGAAAAAGAATCCAAAAAAATGAGGTAGTATAAGGAGCCTCTGGGACAATTTCAAGCAAACCAACATTCACATCATGGGGGTGCCAGAAAGAGAGTGAGCAAAAAATTGAAAACCAATTTGAATAAATAATGACAGAAAATTTTCCCTAACTTGGTGAAGGAAATAGACATACAAGTCCAGGGAGCATAGAAAGTCCCAAACAGGATAAACCAAAGAGGTCCACACCAAGACACATCATAATTAAAATGTCAAAGATTAAAGACAAAGAGAGAATCTTAAAAGCAGCAAGAGAAAAACAGTTCATTACCTACAAGGGAGCTCCCATAAGACTGTCAGCTGATTTCTCAACAGAAACTTTGCAGGCCAAAAGGGATTGGCAAGAAATGTTCAAACTGATGAGAAGGAAAGACCTACAACCAAAATGACTCTACCCAGCAAAGCTCTCATTTAGAATCAAAGATCAGATAAAGAGCTTCCCAGAGAAAAAAAAAGTTAAAGGAATTCACCACCACCAAACAAGTATTACTAGAAATGCCAAAGGGTCTTCTTTAAGAAGAAAAAGATAAAAAATATGAACAATAAAATGGCAAAAAAAATACATATTAACAATTGAATCTAAAAAACAAAATAACCAAACAGAAACAGACTCATAGATACAGAGAACATTTTGAGGATTGCCAGATGAGATGGGTGGGGGAGGGAGGTTGGGAGGCTGGGTTAAAAAAGTGACAGGGCCCTGACTGGTTTGGCACAGTGGATAGAGCATCGGTCTGTGGACTGAAGGGTCCCAGGTTCGATTCCGGCCAAAGGCATGTACCTTGGTTTCAGGCACATCCCCAGTCGGGGGTATGCAGGAAGCACCTGATCAATGTTTCTCTCTCATCGATGTTTCTAACTATCCCTCTCCCTTCCTCTCTGTAAAAAATCAATAAAATATATATTTTGTTTAAAAAAGGTGACGGGATTGAGAAGTACAAATTGGTTGTTACAGAATAGTCATGGGGAAGTAAAGTACAGCATAGGGAATATAGTTAATAATATTCTCATTACTAAGTGTGGTATCAGATGGGTGTGAGTTTTTTTGGGATGATCACTTAGTAAGTCATGTAATGTCTAATCACTGGAGTGTACACCTGAAACTAATATAATAATATTAGTTTCCAACTGTAATATACCAACTGTAATTGAAACATTAAAAAAAAGCTTTAAAAAATTGTTGCTATTTTGTCTGCTGTAACTTTTTTCTTACTATTTGTCCTTGTTTGGGAGTTTTTTATTCCTATATTGTCATTTTTAATAAATAAGGTGAAAGAAGGAAATGAAGATGTAAATATTTGTTTTATGTTTGTTTATCTGGAAGTGCTGAGAACCTAGGATTGGCAGAGGTGAGGGGCACTTCAAGCCAGGAACAGAGCCTGCATAGAGGTTGGTTAGAGATGGGAACGTATGAGTGATGGCAAGTGCCTGGGATTGTAGTTCACAGTGGGGAATTATGGGATGTGAGGACTTTGGGGTATGAAGAGACTAGCCCAGTGGAAAGTCTAAAAGGCCAAATTGAAACTATACTTAGTAACAGAATTATTATATCTCACTTTTTGTGGCACGTAATGTTTTCATGTTTTTTATTCACAGGACAAGACTATGAATTGTTAGTGTTTAAAATATATTTCCTTTTTTTAAAATATATTTTATTGATTTTTTTACAGAGAGGAGGGGAGAGGGACAGAGAGCCAGAAACATCAATAAGAAACATCAATCAGCCGCCCCCTGCATGCCCCCCACTGGGGATGTGCCCACCACCCAGGTACATGCCCTTGACTGGAATCGAACTCGGGACGCTTCAGTCCGCAGGCTGACGCTCTATCCACTGAGCCAAACCAGTCAGGGCTAAAATATATTTCTTTATTGATTTGAGAGGAAGGGAGAGGGAGAGATAGATAGAAACATCAATGATGAGAGAGAATCATTGATTGGCTGCTTCCTGTACGCCCCCTACTGGGATTGAGCCCACAACCCAGGCATGTGCCCTTGGCTGGAATCGAACCTGGGACCCTTCATTTTGCACGCTGACGCTCTATCCCAGGGGTGGGCAAACTTTTTGACTCGAGGGCCACAATGGGTTCTTAAACTGGACCAGAGGGCCGGAACAGAAGCATGGATGGAGTGTTTGTGTGAACTAATATAAATTCAAAGTAAACATCATTACATAAAAGGGTATGGTCTTTTTTTTCAATAGTTTTATTCATTTCAAACGGGCCGTAGTTTGCCCACGGCTACTCTATCCACTGAGCCAAACCGGCTAAGGCTGTTAGTGTTTATTGTAACTGATTCATAGATAGATTAACTGAGGCACAGAAGTTAAATTGATTTTCCCCAGGCCGCAGAGCAAGCCAAAAGGGAGTAACTGCAGATTGTTAGAGAGGAGAAAGGAGCCCATGATGAAAGCACTGTCTGAAGGTGATCACTGGAGAGCGGTGGTGGGTGGGTGTGCTGAAGTGGGGAGAAAAGCTAACGACCTGCCTGTTCACCAGGAAGTTAGGGAGGGGTACAGCTGATCCTCATAATTTGAAGATTCCGTATTTGTGAATTCACACACACACGCTATACTTTATTTGCAACCTCAAAGCCAATGTGTGCAGTGTTTTCGTGATTATCTGCAAACATGCTCACAGCAGTGAAACTTAGAGGCTACCCAGGACCCTAGGGCTCCTGGCTCCAGCTCTCACATTGTAAGCAGGGCCCTTGTCAAGGTCTAGCTAATGACTTGACGGTTTGAAACGGCCTGGGCATGGTTCCGAGCGGCTGTCTAGTGTTCCTAAGTGTAAGGATGTGATGTGCCTGGTGGAAAGAGAGAGACAAGTTTCACTGGACAAGTGCTGGTGGCTGTGAACTCAATGAACCAATGGCTGGCAGATGAAAATGTTGCGACCAGAGGCACAAAGGAACCTAACCCCGTATTTCCCCAGGAGCAATGGTTCAGTATTTGTTAATTCAGTGTTCATGGCGACTTACAGAACAGAACTACCATGAATGACAGAAAGCAACTGTATCTATCAGTGCGGAGTCTCACTCAGCTCTAGCCAAAGAAGCCAATCTAGTGGAGAATCTGAGCTCCCATCACAGTTTGCTTCTCTTTTCCCCGATGAGTTAAGTGTGAGCATTAATGAAATCCACCGAGAGCACAGCACCTGGTGCAGACCGGTGTCAGTGGGAGGCCTGAGCTCCAAAGCCCTGTTCCTCACATTCAAGCATCATGTGAGCCTCATAGTCGGTTTAGGATTCTAAGAAATGACTCCCCTCCTTTCTATGTGTTTATCATGTATGGTAGGCAGACAGTCTAGCACTCTAATGTAATTTTTCCCTCAAACAATTCTTGCCCCACCTTCCCCTATTATCCAGTTCCTCAAGCCCAAAAACCTGGGAGTCATCCTCGATTCTTTCCTTTCGCCTCCCACATCCGATCTATCACCACATTTTGTCGGTTCTTCCTCTCCTGGTTATTTCTCTGTTGCCTCAACCCCGACCCTCTCCCTTCTATACTATGCTTCATATGCTGGATTTTCCAGATTTCCCTGCCAGCTGTTAATTTCTGGCAACGGGAGCCCTGGCAAGACGTGAGAAGATGGGAGGAAGGATAGGTAGCCATTGTTCTCTGCAGCAGTGGGACAAGGTCTCCGCATCAGCCGTGCTCATGTGGCCCCTCCACGGCCACTCAACACTGTGCACCTCTCCCTGCACTGCAGTGGGTGCCACCCCTTTAACCTGCATCCCTTCAGCACCCTCTTCCCTCCCTTTTGTTTCTTCAGCCCTTCCAATACTTTTGTAACCAATTTTCCATACTTAACACCCTTTGTTGGAAGTAACTAACATGGTTTCTGACTTCCTGGCTAGAGCTTGGGGGATATAACCCGCAAATATTTCCCAAATCTACCCGTGTACTACTGCCACAACTCCCACTCTAACCCTGGCACAGTGATCTCTCCCCTGGACTCCTGCCCAGCTAGGCTCCTAAGGCACAGCCAAGCAGGCCAGGAGCTAGGCAGGTGGGCCTCAGGCAGCAACCTTCCCTGGAGAGTGACCCACAGGAAAATGAGCTCTGGGAGAAAAATGGGGCCCCGCCACTGCCAACCTTGGAGGACTGGTGGCTGATTTTATCCCACAAAGTTGTTTTTCTTAAACTATTATTCACTGAAAGCCTAGCACTAGGCCAAATTCCTTATCTCTGCTTTATGCTCAGTCTGCCTTTTCTTTCTCGTATTATAGATAGAACAGCAAGGTAACCTGAAAGATAAAAGCATTTTATTTGTAAAATCTTTGCCAACTCACTTAAGAATGAAAGAAAATCATTCCATTGCTGTAAGAACATCTTTTAACTTTCTTCTAACCTGAGCATCCTAGGGTTCCAGAAATTCCAGTCTGTCTGATCAAATCCCCCGAGTGGTAGAGGTACAAGCTCCCATAGGAAGGAAGCGAGTGTGCAGGGCTTCCTGGCAGGAAGGGTGGCAGGGCATACACTGCCGAGTCCAGATGACACAGGCCAGGAGCCAGGTGCCCGACGACAGCGTCCCCTCCGCTGGGCTGGAGGAGCGGCTCGGCCTTGAGACAAAGTGCGAGGGAGGTGCCTCAGCTGAAGGTTATTGTCTCTGCGTCTCCAGCTTGGGAGGTGGGCTTGGATGGAGGGGTGAATGCTTTCTTGCCTTCAGCTAGAGCTTTAAAATGCTGTGAGGAAAGAGAGGGAACATGGAGTGTTTGGAATATGCTCATTGCTACATTTTAGCAAGAACTAACCTCTTTACAATCCTTTAAGCTCCAATTTTCTCCCAACTGTGCTTTCAAAACAATTCCTTGGTGTTGTCTTTGAAAAACAGCTAGAAATTTGTCCTGCTTCCTATAAAAATAAACCCCTTTTTCCTTTCCTTCCTGCTTCTGTTCTACAGGCGACTTGGCTCTCCTGTAAGAATGAGTGCACTCTGTAACCTCAGTGAAGGCCCACCTCCCCTCCCCTCCCTCTTCCTTAGAAGCCCCACCGGCCTGCTGTGGGGAAGGGTAACGGGGACAGGGCAGAGACAGCCTCCCTGGTCCCAGGACCAATCAGAGCCGACTCAGAACAGTGAGACTGCAGCAGCCCTCACTGCAAGTCCATCCCTCGTGCTGGACTCACCTGCGAGTTCTTGAATTCGGAGTAGAGGGAAAAGAGCAGGTGGAGAGACTGGATCCGACTCTTGTAGATAGGAATGTCTAGGATGGCTGAAACCAAGACCTCCCATGAGCAGAACCACACAAAAACCTAGGACTTACGGGGCACCTGCTGAGGAGAGCTGATCCCCTCCGACGGGCTGTGTGCCCACGGCTTTGGGAGTGAAATATCCAGCAGGTAGTGGCCCAAGCCCAAACACGGCCCTTCATGCATTTCTCCCCGGTGGGGACAAGGAAGGGCTGGGAGAGCTTACCGCAGATCATGTCGATGTACGCCGCCAGGCTACAGTCGATCTCGGCCGTGGGCAGGCTCACCTGGGAGGGCAAAGGAGGAGCCAAGGTCAAAAGCTGACTCTCTCTAAGAGCTGTTACCATAGTCACATGTATTATGGGCTAAATGGCGTCCCCTCCGCCCAAACCCATATGTTGAAATCCTAACCCCCAGCACCTCAGAACATGACTGTATTAGAGATACAGTCTTAAAGGAGATAATTAATCATTAGGATGGACCCCAAGCCAGTATGACTGGTGGCCTTATTAAAAAAGGAAATAAAGGCACGGACACATACAGAGGGCAGACCCTGTGAAGACACAGGGAGAGGGCCAATAAAAAAGGTTCTGGGAAAAACCAACTGTGCCAACAACTTGCTTGCAGATGTCAAGCCTCTGGAAGTGTGAGAAAATAAAATACTTATCTGTTGCTTAAGCCACAGCCTGTGGTACTTTGTTATGGCAGCCCCAGGGAATAATACAATATGCTTGTTTTTTCCTCTGATCAGTGAAATGGAATTGGGCCTATTCATTAACCACCAAAGTAGCACACAATCTAGTAGAACCAAAAGATTTTTTTATATATATCTATTTTATTGATTTTTTACAGAGAGGAAGGGAGAGAGATAGAGAGTTAGAAACATCGATGAGAGAGAAACATCGACCAGCTGCCTCCTGCACACCTCCTACTGGGGATGTGCCCGCAACCCAGGGTTTTTAAAAATATATTTTTAGTTGTTAACAGTATTACTGATATCTTCCTTATGCTCCTCCTCCCAGCCCCTACCCACCCCAGGTCTTCACCACCCTACTGCCTGGGTCCATGGGCTGTGCATGTAAGTATAGAAGTTCTTTGGTTTATCTCTTATTATCCCCCCAACCCCACATCGAGGTATCTCAGTCTGTTCCATGCCTCCCTGCTTCAGGTCCTATTTTGTTGGTCAATTCATTTTGTTCATTTGATTCCACAAATAAGTGAGATCATATGACATTTGTCTTTCTCAGTTTGGCTTATTCCACTTAGCATGATAGTCTCCAGGTCCCTCCATGCTGTCCCAAAGGGTAAGAGCTCCCTCTTTTTTACAGCTGCTCAGTATTCCATGGGGTAAGTGTCCCACAGCTTCCTTATCCACTCATCTGCTGATGGGCACTTGGGCTGTTTCCAAATCTTAGCTATTGTAAATAATGCTGCTATGAACATAGGGGTTCACATATTCTTTCTGTTTGGTGTTTTGTGGTTTTTAGGATATATTCCCAGAATTGTGATCACTGGATCAAGTTAAAAATGGTGTTTCATTTTTAATTTTTTGAGGAAACTCCATACTGTTTTCCATAGTGGTTGCACCAATCTGTATTCCCACCAGCAGTGAGCTAGTGTTCCTTTTTCTCCCCATCCTCACCAGCACTTGTTAATTTTTTTATGATAGCCATTCTGATGGTGTGAGTTGGTATCTCATTGTGGTTTTAATTTGCATTTCTCTGATTAAGAGAACCTTTTTTTAAGATTGTGACTTTTAGCACTTTTTTAAGAGAGTGACTTTTAGCACTTTTTCATGTGTCTCTTGGCATTTGTATGTCCTCTTTGGAGAAATGTCTATTCAGGTCTTCTGCCCATTGTTTAATTGGGTTGTTTTCTTTTTGTTGAGTTGTATGAATACTTTATATATTTTGAGTATTAACCCTTTATCAAATGTATCATTGACAAATATATTCTCCCATTCAGTGGGTTCCCTTTTCAATTTAATGGTTTGTGGTTTTTTGCTGTGCAGAAACTTATTTTGATGTAGTCCCATTTGTTTATTTTTTCCTTAGTTTCCTTTGCCCTAGGACAGCGGTCACCAACCTTTCAGATCTCACGGACCACCAGTGGTGTGCAGACCACCGTTTGGTGACCGCTGCTTCAAAGGTTTCCTTAAACCAGCGGTTGCCAACCTTTTGGACCTCACAGACCACTGGTTGGCAACTGCTGCCCTAAGAGATATATCCATAAACATATTGCTATGTGAGACTTTACTGCCTATATTTTCTTCTAAGACTTTTATGGTTTCATGCCTCACATTTAGGTCTTTTATGCACCTTGAGTTTATTTTTGTGTATGGTGAAGATGATGGTCTGGCTTCATTTTTTGAATATGTCTGTCCAGTTTTCCCAGCACCACTTTTTGAAGAGACTGTCTTTACTTCATTGTTTGTTCTTGCCTCCTTTGTCAAATATTAATTGACTGTAATGGTGTGGGCCAATTTCTGTGGTCTCTGTTGTGATCTACTTGTCTATATGCCTGTTCTTGTGCCAGTACCAGGCTATTTTGGTTATAATGGCTTTGTAGTATAGTTTGCTATATGGTATTGTGATCCCTCCTATTTCATTCTTCTTTAAGATCACTGCAGTTATATGGGGTCTTTTATGGTTCAATATAAATTTTTGGAATATTTTTTCTAGCTCTGTGAAGTATGCCATTGGTATTATAATAGGAATTGTGTTGAATCTGTAGATTGCTTTGGGTAGTATAGACATTTTAATTATGTTAATTATTCCAATCTATGAACACAGTATATTCTTCCACTTGTTTATTTCTACGTCTATCTCTCTCTTTTTTTAAGATTCTATTTTATTTATTTTGCTAACCCTCACCCGAGGATATTTTTCCATTAATTTTTAGAGAGAGTGGAAGAGAGAGGGAAAGACAGAGAGAAACATTGATGCGGACCAGGAAGAGTTTGCAACTGAGGTCCATGCCCTTGACCAGAATTGAACCTGGAACCCTTAGGTCCACAGGCCGATGCTCTATCCACTGAGCCAAACTGGCCAGGGTTCTATTTCTTCTTCTCATCACAGCAGTTCCTTTAGCATTTCTGGCAGTGCTGGTTTAGTTGTGATAAACTCCTTTAGCCTTTTTTTGTCTGGGAAGCTCTTATTTCACGGTCTATTTTTGAATGACAGCCTTGCTGGATATAGTAATCTTGGTTTCAGATCCTTGCTTTTGTTATCTTGAGTACGTTGTGCCAGTCCCTCTGGCCTGTAGAGTTTCTCATGAGAAACCAGCTGACAGCCTTATGGAGTTCCTTTGTAGATAACAAATTACTTTTCTCTTGCTGCCTTTAAGATTCTCTTTCTTTAATTTTTGAAATTTTAATTATGATGTGCCTGGGCATGAGCCTGTTTGGATTCTTTTTGCTTGGGACTCTCTGTGCCTCCTAAACTTGTGTGACTTTCTCCTTCACCATGTTAGGGAAGTTTTCTGCCATTATTTCTTCAACATTCTTTATCTCTTGCTCACTTTCTCTCCTCCTGGCATACCTATTATATGAACACTAGAGGCCCGGTGCACAAAATTCGTGCACGAAGGAGGGGGGGGTCCCTCAATCCAACCTGCACCCTCTCGCAATCCGGGACCCCTCGGGGGATGTCCGACTGCCAGTTTAGGCCCAATCCCACAGGACTCAAACTGGCAATCAGACATCCCCCTCGCAATCCAGGACCACTGACTGTAACCGCTTGCCTGCCTACCTGCCTGCTCACCACTAACCACTCTGCCTGCCTGCCTCATTGTCCCTAACCACTCTGTCTGCCTGCCTCACCACCCCTAACCCCTCTGCCTGCCTGCCTAATCGTCCCTGCTTGCCTGCCTGCCTCATCGCCCCTAACTGCCTCTGCCTGCCTGATTGCCCCTAACCACCTCTTCCCTGTCTTCCAATTTACTGATCCAATCCTCAGTTTCTCCTAATCTGTTGTGTATTCCTTCCAATGTGTTCTTTTTAAAAAATATATATTTTTATTGATTTCAGAGAGAGAGGGATAGAAACATTGGTGAGAGAGTGTCATTGATCGTCCGCCTCTTGCACACTCCCTACTGAGGATTGAGCCTGCAACCTGGGCATGCACCCTGACCAGGAATTGAATTGTAACCTCCTAGTTCATAGGTTGACACTCAACCACTGAGCCATGTTGGCCAAGCTCCAATGTTATTAGTGCTATCTCATTCTTCATTTCCAAGACCCCGTGTAAGTTTGGTTTGCCCAGTCTGTGTTCTCCTGAAATCCTAAAGTGCCAGATTAAGGACCTCTGGTCTTTTTCACAATTGCTATACCTTTTCTCATGCTGTTGAACATCTTTGCCGTTATTATTCTGAACTCTCTATCTGATAAGTTTCTTATCTTCATTTCGTTTAGTGCTTCTTCTGGAGAATTCTCTTGTTCTTTCATTTGAGGGTTGTTTGCTTGTCTCCCCATTTTGGCTGTCTGTTTGAATTTGTATCTGTGTATTAGGTAGATCTGCTACAATGCCCAATCTCTAGTCCAGAACAATGTCAGACACTGTTTCTGATTGGCCCTGAGTCCCGTTTGGAGCTATCAGCAATCCACAGCTGTGGCTCCCTCTGCTGGGGCTGGGTGCTTTTGGACAGGACCAAGGTATGCACCACGCTCTGCTTTTCCTATCCCTGAGCCCAGAAGGAGATCAGGCAAAGACGCAAAGCCTCCAGAGACCTGCCTCTGCCTGCAGCATGAATTTTTGAAATTCGGGTACTTAAGAACAGCATAAATATCTCTGGAAAAGTAGAGTCTAAAGTAATAATACAGGAAATATATATACATGTTTACCATGTTACAATGTTCTTACAAATATTAACATGATATTGTAATAATATTTCATTTATAATAACCCAAAACTGGAAACTATCCAAATGGCTACCATAGGATGGATAAGTAAATTGTCACATCTTCAAACAATGTAGTATCATGCAGTAATGAGAAAAAAAGGACAACAATGTAGGAAACAATATTGATGAATCTTCACATGGATGAACAATACAGATGAGCAAAAGAAACAGGACACAAAAGAGTTCAATTACATTTAGATAAAATACAAAATATGGAATTAGAAATTAGGAAGAAAAAAGACAGAAAAGAAAAAAAAGGAAAAGAAAAGGTCAGGATAGTGGTTATGTTGGGATATCTGAGCATGAGGGGAATTCTAGGTTGCTAGCAATGTTCTGCTTTTTTATCTAATGTGTTGATTTACACATAGGTGTTCAGCTGTGAAAATTAGTATGTGTACCTTTCTGATTATGTAATTTACCTCAATTAATAAGCTAATAATGATAATGATATAGGAAGAGAGAAAACACTGGGGCCTAGAGTGAATGCCTACTTTCTTAGCTCCTGCTACCTTCCACTCACCTTGCCCAAAAGCTCCTCAAACTCTGGGGACCATTCCTGCATCAGCGTGTCAATATCAGGCATGGGTCTAAGAGTAGAAAGGTAAATATGAACAAGAAACCTGGACAGGTGACATCAGCAATCTCTGAGAGGACCTTGATCTGGCACATTAGGATTTCCAGAGAATACAGACTGGGCATATCAAACCTACCCTGGACCTGGGGTTTGGAGAAGCTGGCTAAGTAATACCAGATAAATCCCAATCTTTATGTCTGCAATCTCAGCCAGTGGCTGCCATGATCTATAGGGCCTCAGGTTGATCAATTATGTCCCCAGCCTTTGGGCCCTCTTCTCAAAAGCAATGCGTTTCCACATGGTGCAGGTTGCCATGGGTTACACTTGGTGAAGAAGGTAGCATTTCTTACCTGGTATAGTGTACAGTTGCAGGGGGTTTAGAACGATGCAACTCAGAGATGCTCTCAATCCATGTGTCAATGGCTTTGGGATTCTTTTCTGCATCTTCCAGGCTCTTTACTTTCATGTGTTGCTAGAAAATCAAGGGGAAAGCCTGACTCGTGGCACTGAAGCAGCTCTCGTTTTCACAGAGTGACTCATCATATGCTGCTGTATTTCATACACAAAGTAGCTGATGAAAAGGGAGGCTTCACAGCAGCCAAATGAAGATTACAGGAAACCCTGATAAAACTTTCTAGAGCCCTGGGAAAGGAGAAGGTCAATAAGATAGGACTGACCATAATAACACATCATTTCACACCTACTGGGATAGCTACAGTGAAAAAGAGAGTAGCACGTGCTGATGAGGATGTGGAGAAATTGTGACTTGCATTCATCACTGGTAGCATTGTAAAATGATTCAGCCACTTTGGAAAACAGTTTGGCAGTTTCTCAAAATACTAAACAGATACCATATGGCCTAGTAATCCCACTCCTACATATATATCCAAGAGAAATAACAATATGTGTCCATGCAGAAACTCGTACATCTTCACGGCAGCATAATTAAGAAAAGTGGAAACAACTGGTGAGTAGATAAACAAAATGTGAAGTTTCCATACAATGGAATTGTGTTCAGCCATTAAAAAAAAAAAAAAATGAAGCAGTTACCAGATTCTAGGAGCAGGGGGAAATGAGGAGTGACTACTAATGGGTACCCAGTTTCTTTCTGGAATGATGAAAATGTTCTTAGATGATGATGCTTCTACAGTTCTGTGAATATACTAAAAATCACTAAACTGTACAATTTTAAAGGGTGAATTTTATGGTAGGTAAATTATATCTCAATAAAACTGTTATGTAAAAAAAAGGACTGTCCTGAAACCACAGCCATCACTTCTAGTAGGCAGTAAATCAACCATATACACACCAACAAGGCCTCCATTCTGGCCCTCTCCTATTGGGCCTGTACTATACTAGCATCTTACTGTGATGTTGTGCTGTTTGGAATTCTCTGTTAACCAGAGTGAGAGTACTGTAGGGTCTGACTGCTTTGTAGAAGGCTCATCTAATACCAAGAGACCAAGGTTGTCAGGCTTCCCATCAGGACGTGGGACCTGGGTAAGAGAAAAATGAGAAAACAGAGAAAAAAATGAGACAGACATAAAAAGGCCATGCATCTTGTTTTCAATAAGCTCAAGAGGAAGAACTATTCTGCTTCATCACTGCTACTAGTATCAAAAACCATGCCTGTCTGCCATACTGCACTAAAATCCTACCTAGAAAACATACATGAGCCCTGACCAGTTTGGCTCAGTGGATAGAGCCTCAGCCTGCGGATTCAAGGGTCCCAGGTTCGATTCCAATCAAGGGTATGTACCTTGGTTGTGGGCACATCCCCAGTGGGGAGTGTGCAGGAGGCAGCTGATCGATGTTTCTCTCTCATCGATGTTTCTAACTCTCTATCCCTCTCCCTTCCTCTCTGTAAAAAATCAATAAAATATATTTTAAAAAAGAAAAAGAAAAAGAAAACATACATGATCTACAGGACCTTAAATAGAAAGCTGAAGTCATGGATAATTAGGCGGCAAATATATGACAATTTTTAACATATAATGAGATAATCAAGTACTACAGAATAGCAATGAATATAACATGGAATAGAGAGCAAGGTTAAGAATTCTAATGAAATGAAGGGTATATATGAAGGTAGCCAATGCTTGTCAAGAAAATTAGTGGAACTGGTAGAGTAATAGAGGTGTCAGAAAAAACACCTCTGGACTCATGTTTAGGATGTTCTGACTGTACCTTTAAGAATGCATCAATATCCCCAACAGCTGGGATAAAATCAGGAATGAAAGGTTTCAGTTTGTGGTCCAGGTCAATCAACTGAGGTGTATACCTAGGAGATAATGCCAAGGGAAGATGGAAACAGAAACTTTACTATTTAGGTTTTAAAAATCTAAGGAGAATGGCCTTGTTTCAGACTAGAGGCAGGAAAGGGCATGGTAGGGCCAGGGGGTTATGGTAAGAAGACCTAATACTCACCTACTTATATATTGGAAGAGTTCTTTAACCTCAGCAGAAACTGGCAAATGCTCATAATCTGCAGGATCATAGGCCCTGGGGAAAGAAATATATGATTCCACCCAGAGAGGAGCAGATGCCGCCCAGCCCTGGTTCAGGCCCTGGGCTACTACACTCATTGGGCACTGGACTCAAAACCTAGATTATGCTCCAGCCACATCTGCCTTTCCTGGGTGGTTTGCAAGGCAAATTTAAAATTTATTAAAATTAGCCCTAGCTGGCCCTAGCTGGTTTGGCTCGGTGGCTAGAGCGTCAGCCTGCGGACTGAAGAGGCCCAGGTTCGATTCCAGCCAAGGGCACATGCCAGGGTTGCCGGCTTGATCTCCAGTAGCGGGTGTGCAGGAGGCAGTCAATCAATGATTCTCTCTCATCATTGATGTTTCTATCTCCCTCTCCCATCCTCTCTAAAATCAATAAAATATATTTTTTTAAAAAATTAGCCCTAGCTGTTTTGGCTCAGTGAATAGAGCATTGGCCTACAGAATGGGTTTGATCCCAGTCAGGGGCATATGCCTGAGTTGTGGATTTGATCCCCAGTGGGGGGCGGGGGTGTGTGTGTAGGAGGCAGCCAACCAGTGATTCTCTCTCATCATTGATGTTTCTCTCTCTCTCCCACTTCCTTCCTCTCTGAAATCAATAAAAAAATATTTTTAAAAAATAAAATTTAGCCCTAACCAGTTTGGCTCAATGGATAGAGTGTCAGCCTGCGGACTCAAGAGTCCCAGGTTCGATTCCAGTCAAGGGCATGTACCTTGGTTGTGGGCACATCCCCAGTGGGGAGTGTGCAGGAGGCAGCTAATCGATGTTTCTAACTCTCTATTCCTCTCCCTTCCTCTCTGTAAAAAAAAAAATCGATAAAATATATTTGAAAGAAGAAAAAAATAAATAAATAAAATTTATTAAAATTAGCTGTTATCTCTGACAATAAAGAACAGAGCTGCAGAAAATCCAAAGCATAATTTTTAAACATTTTAGAATATAGCAGAAACATCACTGATGAGAGAGAATCACTGATCAACTGCCTCCTGCATGCCCCCTACTGGAAATCGAGCCTGCAACCTAGGCATATGCCCTGACCAGGAATCAAACTGTCAACTCCTGGTTCATAGGTTAACGCTCAACCACTGAGCCACATCTGCTGGGCCTCCCCTTTTTTGAATGAAAGGGATGAAGAGAAAAGGTAGAATGAGATTTTAATTTCTGGCATGAAAATAATTTGCCTCAAGAAAATAAGTTATTTTAGCCAAAACCGGTTTGGCTCAGTGGATAGAGCGTTGGCCTGCAGACTAAAAGGTCCCAGGTTCGATTCCGGTCAAGGGCACATCCCCAGTAGGAGATGTGCAGGAGGCAGCTGATCGATGTTTCTCTCTCATCAATGTTTCTAACTCTCTTTCTCTCTTTCTTCCCCTCTGTAAAAAAATCAATAAAATATTTTTAAAAAAGCTTGGTGAGGCCTGAGCACAGTGGAAGTCCTTCCTCTTGAGTTGGACTCTCTCGCCTGGTCCCTCAATATTCCCAAATTATCTCTTGTCTCTTCTCTTTCATTTGTGTGCGGCTCCTCTTCCAGATCCTGAGCCCTGAACCACTAAAAAAAAACCCGCCGTGGGAGGGGTGGCCCGGCCCCCCCCACTTCCTCCTTCCTGGAACACCGGCGCCCCTGCGGGGTGGAACCCCCCCTCGCGGGAAAGGAAGCCCCACGTGGGGGTGAGCGCAGGGACGGGGGAGAGGGCACAGTATTATTTATAGAAGTAAAAAATTAGAAACAAAATACCCAACAGTGGAGTAATGGTTAGGTATGTTCAAGTCGAATATTGCATGGTTACTAAAAAATACTTGGCTCTAGTTGGTTTAGCTCAGTGGATAGAGCGTCAGTCCTCGGACTAAAGGGTTTGATTCCAGTCAAGGGCACGTACTTCGGTTATAGACTGGCCTTAATCGGGGCACGTGCAGGAGGCAACCAATCAATGTGTCTCTCTCAGATCCATGTTTCTCTCTGTCTCTCCCCCTTTCCCACTCACTCTAAATATCAATGGAAAAATATCCTCAGGTGAGGATTAACAACAACAACAAAATAGTTGTACTGACACATGAAATGTATACAATAAAAATAGAATATATATTGCCCTGGCCGGTTTGGCTCAGTGGATGGAGCGTCGGCCTGTGGACTGGGGGGTCCCGGGTTCGATTCCGATCAGGGGCATGTACCTTGGTTGCAGGCACATCCCCAGTGGGGTGTGTGCAGGAGGCAGCTGATCGATGTTTCTCTCTCATCCATGTTTCTAACTCTCTCTCCCTCTCCCTTCCTCTCTGTAAAAAATCAATAAAATATATTTTAAAAAATAGAATATATATTAATTATAATTAAGTAAAATGCAATGAACATTGACAAAGCATATAATTAACTGAAAGTTATTAATAAAGTCGTTCTGGGGAGAGTTGCTTAATAAAAAATTAAGTAGATTAATGACTTAAAGTTTACATTTCCCTAATTATAATTAGGGAAGTAAGTTGGGAAGCATGAAAAGTCAGTATGGTATTAAACATTTGCTTCATTTAATTAATGTCAACCTGCAGGTGGATAATGCAAAGGTAAGGTAACTATTTTTATTTTTATTTAAGTACTTTAATAAATGATATATGCTTATGATACAAAATAAAAGGTACAAAATGCATACAATGAAAAGTTATGTCTCCCTTCCACACCTGTCCCCTTGCTCCCAAGTTCTCCTTCCAAGAATAATCACTATTATTAATTTCTAGTGTATCCTACACATAGTCTATGTAATGTTTGTTTTATACACATGGTAGCAAAGCATGAACACTTCTATACCTTTTAAAAATTTAATAGTATCACTTGGAAATTGTTCTCTTTTTTGTTGTTAATCCTCACCCGAGGATATTTTTCCAATGATTTTTAGAGAGAATGGAAGGGAGGAGGAGGAGACAGAGAGAGAGAGAAACATGGATGTGAGACACATACATCAATTGGTTGCCTCCCGCACACACCCAATCAGGGCTGTGTGTTGGGAGCCATTAGAAATATTGGCTTA